TATTGCTTAAAGACAGCAGCTATAAAAATCAGGTTTTTTGTCTTCTGTTTTATTGGGTGTTCTATGTGCTATTGAAAGTTCCATTATCTTTTTTCCATGGGCTTTTTTGCTAAAATCCCCAATAAATTTTGTCTATATGCTCTGCCTCTTTCTATAATATGAAATTTCATTTTAAAAAGGACATGTTTAGTTTTTTTTTTTTTTTTTGAAGCATTTTCTTTCCATTGTTTTATTCGTTTTCTTGTTTTGTAATTTGTTGCAGTAGCTGTGTTCCTTTGTAACTTAACTGAGTTTTGTGGATACAGAAGGTTTTTAATGTTTATTTATGTTTGTTTTTATTTTAATTTTTACTAGCATTGTGCAATTTCATAGCCACTGAAAACTAAAATGAATATGGGGTTGTTCGGTGAATGATGAGTTTTGTATTTCTTTTTCTTTCCTTGTAAATGGTGGCTTGTTTTATGCTTTTGTTATCTGCACTTCCCTTTAACCATGATTTTGGTTTAATAATTTATTGTAAAACATAATGAAATCCATCTTAATTATTATTTAGATAAACCATAATTTGGTTTTCGTGCAGTAGATTTTGTTGCGTGGTCGGTTTCTTGGTAGTTTGGCTGCCGTACTGTTAGAAAATTCATTTTTGTTCGTGTCAGTAGCTATGAAATTGGTTTTTGAGGATATTCTTTGTGTGACACCAAAGAAGAATCAGTAATACAATGTACAGACACTTCCATGTTTTTCTTTGGGTGTTGATGCATTTTCATGAAATCCATTTATTTCCTTATTTTGTTCATTATTTAGTCATGAAAAGTTGAAAACAGTTTTCATATAGACAAACTGATTTCTGAATGATTTTAGGGTTGTTCACATGGTTCACAGGGTTTGGTAAGAGATGCTTTGCAAGGACAACCAAATCAAAGTGCAATTTGCTCAGGTGAAAGAGTGGCCATTAAGGGGCCGGGGGAACCAGAGCCGCCTCAGGTTGGTTATTTATGTTCTTCTTTCTTTTGCTGTGTGTTATTTTCATTAGTGAAGTTTGTTTTTCTTATTTCATTTGCTGTGTTTTGATTCTTTATGTTTATTAGTATCTAATATTTACAATTTTGCTCTAGGTTGAATCCCCTTTTATATTAGTGTTTGGTGTTGTCTTTTTACATAGCTTCATTTTAATTGACTTAAGCTAGATATGATGAAGCTAAGGATTTGCTCTCTCTTGTGATAACTCATAAAACTACATGATTTGCAGAATCCAGCATATGTAGTTGATGGGGTTGGTTCAAATGAACCCATGGACTCTGATTTAAGCATGATTCATCATTTGAATGACGATATCCGTGCTTTAAGTGAGAGGGTGACAACTCAGAAGTCATCTATTAGGAAGGAGAGGCATGAAGTGGATTTGGAGACCACATGGGAGACAAGGAAATCAAAGAGGAAAGTGGCCTTCTCTGCATCACCAGAATGGGCTGCAATGAATGATGACTCCTTTGCGTCCACGGTAGAGGTTGATAAAATGGTCGATGAGGCCTTGGATGTTATGGCAATGAGGGTTATAGAGAGGGCTTCAAAGTGGGCCTCGCAGAAGAATGCATCCTTGTATGAAGCTCAAGACCAAATTGCATTTTTGCGCCGAAGTTTGGAGGAGGTGCACCCTCAAAAAGAGGAGGAGCATGCAAATGCATCAAGGGCACAAGCTGAGGTCAAGGAGCTATGCCTGAGGGCACAAGCCGACGCCAAGTCGACACAAGCAGAGGTGTTGAAGGCACATGCTGAGGCTAAGGATGCACACTTTCAGAAAGAAGCAGCACAAGCTGAGGTGTTGGCTATGAAAGTTCGAGATAGGAGAAGTCAGATAGCAAGTGAGTTTCCTGACTATTCTTTTTATCATTCAAAAAGTATAGTATGATCCATATGGTCATCTTAAGACATGGTCATAGCCTCATAGGAGCCATCACCGCCACATGAATAGGGCGCATGAATAGGTTGGAAGTTGAATGAAAGATATTGAGTTCCACAAAACTTCCCATTATTCATTTGTATGATCTAATCTCCATCCATCACCATTCAACCATTGGTTGGATGCTGATGACTCTTATGAATGTTGCCTTACCATGATCATATGGATCATACCATATTATGACTTTTTAATTATTAGGGAGTGGCCTAAAAAATTGAGTTCCATCAAACTTCTCATTATTCATTTGTATGGTCTAATCTCCATCCATCACCATTCAACCATTGGTTGGATGCTGATGACTTTTATGAATGTAGCGTTACTATGATCATATGGATGATACCATACTATAACTTTTTAATTATCAGGGAGTAGCCTAAAAAATTCATTTGTATGATCTAATCTCCATCCATCACTATTCAACCATTGGTTGGATGTTGAAGACTCTTATGCATGTAGCGTTACCATGATCATATGGATCTTATTATACTATGAATTTTTAATTTTAGGGAGTGGTAGCACCGAAAAATGTGCCGCATTAACTTAAAATGTTTAACAAATCATGATTCCAAATGAACAACCAGAAGGCAAGCACATTCAGGGTCAAATTCGTCCATGTGTTTCATATCATAGAAACACAAGTTTTACATATATTATTCAAAATGGAAGAGTTCCAGAGGCATAAACCTCTGTTACAATTTACATCAGCATAAGAGCTAAGCTGAATACCCTTATTCGAACCTTCAAGCGTATACATACGATTTTAAGAAAGAAAATATACATACATTATTATACGTCATTTTTTACGTACTTGTATTGCCGAGGCAAATAAAGAGAGCCCATAGAACGTGGTCCTACCGGTACCCAAGACACCGCTAGATTACGGGAACACTGCAGCAATAAGTCTAAAATTGAGCGACCTCTAAAAAAGCATCAAAATGGTTTCAAGTTGCATGAGTGGGTAGTTTGGGATACTATAAGGACACCTATAACTTTTCGTCGTGTTCTGATAAGTTTTGATACAATCAAGCTTGCAAATCAAGTTTCTATCATGCTAAAAAGTGACCCTACATCTACAAACCCTATCTTTTGGGTCTTATAATAGTACTAGACTACCGTCATTGGATCCAAAACGTCGAAAAACCCCCCATGTACCAAATTTCGGTTCAATCGGATCTTTCAGGACCATTCGAGGGTTAAGTTACCCTAAAAAGGTAGGTTTTATACTATTGCGGTGTAGCCTCAACGAACCAATTTTATTTACAAAAAGTGTGTTTTCTCATTTTATGATGATTTTCAATTGCTCATGACTTGCTAGTTTTGAGTCTAATTAAGTCCAAATTCGAACACGGGTTAGATCTTGACGACTCAATCGTTGTGACATGTGGCACGTGTCATGGCGTGGCCCGAAATGAGAGAATTTCTAAAGAGGAGAAGAGCTCGAAATATGAAAATTCCGATTTTATAAAAGAACCTCTTAATTCTTTGAGAGGCCATGGCTCAAGATCTCGGTGTCGGATTGTCGTAAGTATGGGTCGGTTGTGACCGTGCGTTGAAGAGCTATGGTTTGGTATAATTTTTATGTATGATCGGAGGCCGGATGATATGAATTTTGAGGTCGAAAATGACATATTTTTCGATCGTCAGAATCCCATTTTCCGGTGACTTTTCAAAATTGGAACATGATCAAACAAAGATCAAATTGGACGAAATTTATTGCAAAATGATCGTGATAATATCCTCTTCAATTTGTGATAAAAAATGAAGGCTTGGAACGTCATAAGTCGTATCGGAGTGGTGGTCGAAAAATTACAAGTTTACGGAACTTGATATGATTTTGGGTTTTTTTTAAAAAAATCAGTTTCAAGACGCCCAAAGGGTATCAAAACGTGCGTAAAAGTTCAAGCATCGATTCTACGACGATTGATCGTCCGAATTACCATCGTAAGCGTTTAAAAAAGCTTTCGAGGCCTAGCAAATGGCAAGAGGTCCTCATGGAGGGATGGTTTTATCATTTGTTGAAATGTGCCTAGGGGCGTTCTGTATTTTATGGTAAGTTTATGATTTAATTTCTATTAGTGTCATTTATAATTTGTCTATAAAAGACAAGTTTTTATATTCATATCAACTAATAGTCGTAAGAGTCTCTTCAGAGAAACTTAAGCCTTTACACATAGTATAGAGCTTTGGTCATTTGGTTAAAAAATGGGATTAATAGTTTAATTCGTAAAATGTTTTTGGAGTTTTTGAGCTTTCTACCTTTGTTTGGTGGTTCCTCTATACAAGGAACTCAAGTTACTTGTAAACTTAAGTTTTGAAGCATAATAAAAAATTGGGGTTTTTCCCCTTAATGCCTCCTTAATGCCTAGTTGCTTGGAGCTTTTAACTTCAAGAGAGGAGAGATAAAATTTTACGAATTTGGGTAATTGCCCTTGGACTTCCAACTCTTAACTTCTAAGCTTCTCACTTCTAACTCTCAACATCCAAACCTCCTATTTCCAATTCCCAACTTCCAAACTTCTTACTTTCAACTTCTAAACCTTCCACTTCCAATTCCCAACTTCCAAACCCCTTGCTTCCAACTCCCAATTCCTTGAAATCTCACTCTCCCTACTACTTAGAACCTTAAACTTCTTACTCCCTAGCCTTTCCAACTTCATACTCCGTACACCATGCACCTCACCTTAGTTCACCATACACTCTATTTGATATACTACCCTAACCCACTTAGGTCTATTCATCTTGGACCTAGACCCCAACCCTAACTTCAAAGGCGAAGACATCTTTTTTAGGAGCGCTCAAAAGAGATCTTCAAAGGTGCGCACAAACCCAAGCCTGCATAGGTCCTCTCTCTCTCTCACCACTGTTTCTTTCTTCTCTCTCTTCTAATTCTCTCATCTCTTATAAATCTATTTCTCTCATGCTCTATCTTTCTAAACTTGGACAGCTTTCGTGAGGTTTTTTAGAAGTGATTTCGCGATAGTATAGAACTGCAGACTTCACTCTCTAGCTTCGGAGGTGATTTCTTGATAGTCTAGAACTATGGACCTCACTATCTAGAATCCTATGTAGTGCTCTTGAATTTGGTCTCGAAGTCCAAGGACCTTTCCAACGTTCCCGGTTATCTCTTTAGAGAAGGGACATTGAAAAGATGTCTGAATTTTGAGAGGCATTCTCTTTCTTATATTCTCATAGCATCTCTTATTTCTCTGTTCATCCAACTCCCAACTTCCAAGCCCCACACTTACAACTCCCAACTCGCAACTCCTTAGAACTTCAAACTCCCTACTACTTAGAACCTTAAACTTCCTAGTCTCGAGCCTTCCCAACTTCCTACTCCTTACATCATACATCTCACCTTAGATCACCATATACCCTATCTCATACGCTACCCTAACCCACTTAGGTCTATTCATCTTAGACCTAGACCCCAACCTTGGCCCCAAAGGCCAAGACATCTTTCTAAGAAGCGCTAAAAAGGGATCCTCAAAGGTGCGCACAAACCCAAGCCTGCTTAAGTCCTCTCTCTCTTCTTTCTCTTTCTTCTCTCTCTTCTATTTCTCTCATCTCTTATAAATCTACTTCTCTCGTACTCTATCTTTCTAAACTTGGACAGCTCTCGCGAGGCTCTTCGAAAGTGATTTCGCAATGGTTTAGAACTGCAGAATTCACTCTCCAGCTTTGGAGGTGATTTCTCGACAGTCTATAACTATAAACCGCACTATCTAGAATCCTTCAGAGTGCTCTTGACTTTGGTCTCGAAGTCTAGGGACCCTTTTCGACCTTCCCGGTTACCTCTTTATAGAGAGCATGGAGTTTTGAGAGGTCGTCTCTTTCTTATATTATCATTCCTTTCTCATAGCATCTCTTATTTATCAGTTCATCCAACTCCCAACTTTCAAACCCCCCATCAAACTCCCAACTCCGTAGAACCTCAAACTCCTTACTACCTTGAACCTTAAATGTTTTACTCCTTAGCTTTCCCAACTTCCTACTCCCTACACCATACACCTCACTTTAGATCACCACACCACCCTAACCCACCTAGGTCTATTCATCTTAGACTTAGAGCCCAATCTTAACCCCAAAAAGGTTAAGACATATTTCTGAGGAGCACTCAAAAGGGATCCTCATAGATGCGTACAAACCCAAGCCATCTTAGGTCCTCTTTCTCTTCTTTCTCTTTCTTTTCTCTCTCTTCTCTCTTTCTTCTATTTTTCTCATCTCTTATAAATCTACTTCTCTCATACTCTATCTATCTTTCTAAACTTGGACAGCTCTCACGAGGCTCTTCGGAAGTGATTTTGCGATAGTCTAGAACTGCAGACTTCACTCTCCAGCTCCGGAGGTAATTTCTCGACAGTTCAGAACTACGGACCTCACTATTTAGAATCCTCCGGAGTGCTCTCGACTTTGTTCTCGAAGTTTAGGGACCTTTCCGACGTTTCCGGTTACATTCTTAGAGAGGAGATGTCGGAAAGATATCTGAGTTTTGAGAGGCATTCTCTTTCTTATATTCTCATTCCATTCTCGCTGCAGTCGGTTTCTCAGTTCCCCCTCCATCAACACCAAATGCGAAAGCACTCTTTATAGGGCGCATGCTACGATTAGGTCTCCAAGGGATAAAGGAGTGTACTCTTTTGAACCTCAGGGTTAGAGGTAGAAGCTGTCCAGGCTTCTGCAGCAGGTTTAAAGGTTGTGTACTATGACAAGGAAACCTTTATAAAACCCCCAACTCGCCCTCATTTTTCTTCCTTCCTTCAATTAGAACCATAGTGGCCTTTTTTAAATTTTGGTGGGGTTGTCCTTTCCTTGTCCATC